ATTAAACAGGATTATATGATTATCCCTATCTACATCAAAGCCTTCGCCACTAATAAGAGCTTCCACTTAAGGAAGTTTGCAAGTTTTATTCAATTAATTAGGTTTCTTCTGATTTTCTTGTCTGTGTCTTTTGTAATGGCTGGAATTTGATATCCGTCGTCGCCTGTCGCCCTTTTTCTAATGAAGTATAATTGTTTTTAATTTTGAGTAAGAGCTAAGTGTCTCTCTAAAGTGTGGGATTTGTTTGGTTTGGCTGATTTCATGCATATATATAGGCTCTGGTTTGTCTTGGGAGATTTGATTAAATCAACAGGCATGGAAGACACCGGTCTTTTAAGTAATAATAGTAGTAGTAGTAATAATAATAAAATAAAATCCTAACATGCCATTAATGATTACACTAAAACATTAATTAATGACTTTGACACTTAACCTTGCCAAAAAAACCAAAATTATAAAATAAACACAAAACTTCGGATTCATTTTTGGATGATGATTCGGCCAGGCAACCCTACTTTGAGCCCATTAAGACCCTTCCTCACTATGACTTCGCTAGAAGTATTAAATCATATATTTGGGTCTAAATAGACGCTTTCGATGGTACAAATCCAGAAACTTATCACTCTCTCTTGGAACCTGGAAATTAGATTCACACATAGAGAGAAGAATCGGTTGCTGACTTTCTAGCTAAAGAAGGTTATCTAAAACCTGTCCTTTAGATTCTTGCCTCCCAAATTGCGTGTCTTAGTTGCTATTGAGTGTATGGAATTCAATCCCCTTGTTGATTAATGTCTAGTTGTTTCGGTTCTGCCCTCTTTAGTATAAAAATAAATAAATAAATATGCAATACGCATGACTCAATTTGCGTCTTTTATATGTGTTTGGGGTACACTTTCAGTGCGTTGGGAACCTCTCCTACCCTTCCCATCCTCCTCTTTTTATAGCCATAGGATCAATACTACTTTCGGTTTTTATATAAGAACTAGTTTGACTTTTAATTTGATCTTAAATATAAGGTCTTAATCTACTTTGTCTTTTATATTTATTTATTTTTCAAAAGTAATTCTTATAGTAGTTGTACATGTTAAAAAGTTTCATCAAACAGTAATTTTAACTAATACACATGATTAACAAGGTATTCTAGAAAGATAACACATTTATTATAAATAATTAACTTAAATAATTTTTTTAATCTCTTTAAATTAGTCCAATTGGGTCTTATATTAAGAATTAGAGGTAGTATTTGAATGTTAGGATTTAGTCTTTTATAAAAGCATCATCAAAATATTAAATTATAAGTTTAAAAAAATAATTAATTAAATTTAAATGGCTAAATTTTGATATGAATAATATAATACTATAATAAAAAAATAAAAAAATATTTTATATAAAATCAAATTTGAACCATTCAAATATTAAATCTAAGGAACCAGTTTTGGTGCTCATCATAATGATAGCACCATGATGAAAAACTGGTTCTGAGAAGAAACTTCCGAAACGGGCAAAGATGATTGCATGTGGAATATGTCTGTTTTCTCTCACCAGGCTAAGGGGAAAAGGATTACTTGAGCTCAATGAACAAGATATTACATAACTCTCACAAAACCCAAATCCGCCATCCCTGACTACCACTTTACTTGAAAACCCAATTGGGCATTATTGCTTCGAATTCATTTCGAATAGGCTAGCTATAAATTAAACAATGTAAAACTCCTATAATGTGTGTGTATGGAGCTAGTTGATGAGCATTATAATACTCATAATAGTGATGAGTATTGAACCACTTCCTATATTATATTCTGTCCCTTTTTTTAAAAATAAAATACGATTATGGAGTATGACATTTTTTATAAAAAATATTTAGAAATCATTGCAAATTTTATTCGTTGATTTTTCATCTTACGCTTATTTAATTACTTATATTATTCATATTGTTGTATTTAATTTGCACACATTCTTATGAAAAGGTTCCATATAAATGAGAGTATTATCTCCAATTAATTTTAAACAACACTTAAAACAACATAATTTGATCCTGTTATGAAAGAAAAAACGGAGCAACGAGGAAGTCTGTCTATGTGAAATTGTGAATAAAACCCTGGCAAAAAAAAAAAAAACAAAAGAGAAATTGTGAATAAAACATGTTAGAAGATTTTGCAGAAGTAATCAAAAAAAAAAAAAAACAAGAAAAAAGTAAGAGTTTGCAGAAGGCGGAATCATATTCCGTGGGCATTAATAATGCTGTCGCATTTATTAGTAAGGTCTGAACAGCCATAGTTGTTGATGGCTGAATAAATGATTCCATACGAATTTAAAGGGTGAAGAATTTGGTTGTGAATTGCGAGACCAATACCTTCTAGATTACTACGCCATAAAATTCCGCCATTTCTGACAAATTAATTAAATCTCCCTCCTCGTTAACAAGATCAGAAAACAATTGAAAGTGCATCCACGAAATGAAACCCAGCAACCCCAATTAATGAACAAAACCTCATCACCGAGCCACCGGTTAGCTAGCTCAAGTCCCTATAAATATGCGCCGTGTCTTGTCTCATGAACCATATCACTCTACTAGCTAAGCAAAACCATATATAGTTGCCACACCTCCGATCCTCCATTGTCATCTGATCTCATTTTCTCAACATTCAAAGATATTCATAATAATGGGCGTTTTCACTTTCTCCGAAGAGAATATCTCTGCTGTTGCCCCTGCCACACTCTACAAGGCTCTGGTCTTTGATGGCGACAACCTCGTCCCTAAGGTCGTTGATGCCGTCCAGAGCATTGAGATCCTCCAAGGAACTGGTGCCGCTGGAACCATCAGAAGGATCAACTACCTCGAAGGTCCCATTTCTTTTTCTGTTTCTATGTCACTGAATAATAGCTTGAATCTGTTTAAGAATGTTTGGGTTTCAGGGATTATTTTAACGAGAAATGTGGTATTATATGCACGCACAGATGGAAAATTGCACTACGCGAAGCACAAGGTGGAGGCAGTAGACAAGGACAACTTTGTATACAACTACGCCTTGGTGGAGAGCGACATATTCCCTGAGACTTTGGAGAAGATCGCCGTCGAGACCAAGTTGGCGGCCGCCCCTAACGGCGGATCCGTCGTGAAGGTGACCGTCAACTACGTGACGAAAGGAGACGCCAAGCCCAGCGAAGAGGAGCTGAAGATTGGGAAGCAGAAGGGAGATGGACTCTTCAAGGCCGTTGAGGCTTACGTCTTGGCCAATCCCTCCTACAACTGAATTATATGTAGCATTAAATAAGAGCAATATGGTTATCCCTATATATCAAAGCCTTCGTCACTAATAAGAGCTTCCATTTAAGGAAGTTTATGAGTTTATTAATTATCTTCAATGATATTATTATTCATTAGGTTCGTCTGATTACTCCTTGTGTTTGTGTCTTTTGTAATGGCTTGGAAATTGATATATGTCCTCTGTCGTCCTTTTTCTTGTGAAATATATAGATGTTTTTAATTTTGAGAAAGATTTTTTGTTTTCTGGGTTTGGCTGATTTCATGCGCGCATACACACATATATATGTATATAGGTTCTGGTGTATCTTGGGAGATCCAATTAAGTCCATATGTACGCTTCTACTACATAACAACAAAAATAGATCTAAATACCTAATGACTTAAACATTACTGCACTACAATTTCAATTTAAATCAAATCTAAATGTTGCATTTACAATTTTTAAATGCTACCTTTTGTAAAGTAGAAGTTGTTGAAGTGTTCAAATAATGTCCACAATTCATTCGATTATCTGGTGTCCACTTTAGTCACAAATTTTATTTAAGCAAAAAATTCTTTAACTTTATATAAAGTTTTATTTTGGTCCTTTAATTTTATAATTAAAGTGCCTTTTTAATACTTTAATATTATTAGTTTCACTGAAAAAATGTCGATGTTACAATTTTAAATATTAACAAAATATTCAAAGACATTAACATATTACTTTTAAATTAAGGAACTAAATTAAAATTTGACATAAAATTAGAGGACAAATTGTGCACTTTTTATCTTCCGTTTCATTATCACACTATTAAATCTGTTGCATTAAAGTCTCTCTCTCTCTCTATATGTGTGTTGGACATTGGCTCAAGTCTGTCCTTCATGCGCGCTGGACTACCTGATCTAAGAAAAGAGAGTCTCTCTTATAAAGAAAACCAATTACAAAGAGGTAATAATTGATTGATTAGGAAATATTTGATCAAGCATTAAAGTCTTGATTAATTGAAAAAAAAAAATCAATTAGACAGTGATTGTTGATCGAAGAATCGAAATATTATCCCGTAATAAATGAGGAAGATTGTGTTTTCTGAAATAAGGGTCATCTGATCTTATAAGTTAGAGGTGTCTCAACTCATTTCTCTTCACCTTAACTTTTAAGCTTTTTGATTATCTTTTCTCCTTTATCTAATACATCTGCTATACCATTCTTATCAAGACTCAAGTAGTTGAGATATTGCGTGAGCAATCCGCATTACGACCCAAAACCAACCTGCTATGTTTCTCTCTCCTCTCTCTAATTATTTTATCTATTTCCTTCTATATATGTGTATATAAACACACATGGAAAGGGGAGGCATATGCGTACATGATACAGTTATAATTAGCTAGAGTTTAGTGGAACTTGAAAGTTTTTGTTAGTTTCAATGAATATTATACAACCTCCCATTTTAAATATAAGATCCACTTATTATACTATAAAGTGGAGGTAGTTATAATATTAAAAAATGGATTTTACATATATTTCGGACGGGAGGTAATATATACGAGTATTAAAATTTGGGTGAGTGTGATGCATTCAATGTCTTAAAATATTTCCTGAATTCAATTACGGACCTCTAACTGAGTCCTACTTTATCTTTACACTAATAACACGCCACAGGGATTTGGAGAATGCACGGTTATATTAATTATGAAAAATTACCGACGTTCAGCAAAACTCGAAAATGTCGCATTCTATAGGAATTTATGCAAAAATACGTAGACATTCAGCAAAGCAAATCTGATCGACTCACGTAAGACTTCAGACAAGTTAGACGCCTTCTAGATTGCATAACACCCAGTTCACAATGTTTGACCACTTTAGTCAAACACTCTGGTCAAAGTTGAAACACAATTACAGAATTAAAGTACACACACGCACAGTGACCCAACAACCTCATGCAATGAACAACTGCACCACCAAACCTCAGCTTGTTGGTGCCTATATAAGCGTACCGCATGTCCACGAACCAATATCCATAACTGCTAGCTAAGCATTATCTTCCATTGTCTTCTCAATATTCTTCTTCTAAACACACATAATCATAATGGGAGTTTTCACCTTCTCTGAAGAGAGCATTTCCGCTGTTGCTCCTGCCACACTCTACAAGGCTCTGGTCTTTGATGGCGACAACCTCATCCCTAAGGTTGTCGACGCCATCCAGAGCGTCGAAATCCTCGAAGGAACTGGTGCCGCTGGAACCACCAAGAAGATCAACTACCTCGAAGGTCCTATTTCTTTTTCTGTTTCTATATCACTGAAGTCTGAACAGTTAGTTTGAATCTGTTTATTTAAGAATGTTTGGGTTTGAGATATTTAATGAGAAATGTGGTATTATGTGTACGTACAGATGGACACTTGCACTACGCGAAGCACAAGGTGGACGCAGTAGACAAGGACAACTTTGTATACAACTACACCTTAGTGGAGAGCGACACTTTCCCTGAGACTTTGGAGAAGATCGCCGTCGAGACGAAGTTGGCGGCCGCCCCTAACGGAGGATCCGTCGTGAAGGTGACCGTCAACTACGTGACGAAGGGAGACGCCAAGCCCAGCGAAGAAGAGCTGAAGATTGGGAAGCAGAAGGGAGACGGACTCTTCAAGGCCGTTGAGGCTTACGTCCTGGCCAATCCCTCTTACAAGTGAATTCTCAAACATTAAAATAAGTATTTTAGATAATAAAATTGAGGTCCCCATAACCCCAAACCTTAATTAATAAGTACTCCCATGTGGTGCGAGTGATGTAAGTCCCGATATGGGGGTCCCCCTCTGTCAAATTTTTTTTTTTTTGAATGAAAACTGGATTCAAAAGACCCTCTGTCAATTTATATACGGGTTATTAATTAGCTTGTTGGTTAAGATTAAGGTTTTTTCTTTTTTATTATTATCTGATCTTTTGGGCTGTCATTTGTGCGTGTTTCTTCCAAATTCTTAAGGAATCAGACAATGTTTTGGAATTTTCTGATGCTGTCATTATGAGGAGAGCTGATATTTAGTAAAATGTGGCTTTTATTATACTTTCTTGACTTTGCTTTTATATAAGTTTTTACGTGTCAAGTTGTGATCTGGCTCATTATTCTTCACCTGTTCTTTTTCTCCCCAACAACCCAATTGAAGCCTAAATTTCTGCATCCCAGAAAGTGACATAAAGTTAAACATTTTAACCAAGTCACAAGGTCGGTCAATGTGTTTGCCCCCATTCCTTTTTTTTTTTTTATGAACATTGATAATACAAAGCCTGGCTATAAATATTTTTTTTAGATGATAACAGGCTAACAGCAAATGACAGTAATTAAATTTTTAGACGTAATATAAAGATCTCTAATTTTTTTAAAACTAAATTACAAATAAAATGAATTTATTAACCGTCGTTACTAAAATTCATTATCCTGATTCGTACTATTACATTTATCCATTGTATACAGAATTTCATAAATTTCGACCTAACATCTATATAGAGTAAAATATGGGAGGAATTACAATAAGGTCACAAGTAAAGAAAACAATTGAAAAACAAGTTACAGAGATTGTCATTCTCACTATAGGACTTGTCATTATAGGCTGTTGAGGTTGTTATTAGGACTTTTTTATAATTATTTATCTTTTGTGAGACTTGATTGTAATTCTCTCTAAAATATATCATGGAAACTTCCAAATGGAGGGCTAATATAAAATCTCGAGAGCCTGCCACTTCATTGTAAGGAGATATGGAAAAGAAAAATATCTTTATTGTTACCTATACTACCTTTTTTTTTTTTGAAAAAATGTATTACTCCTTTCCATCTTTTTTATAAGATCCTGTCATAACTATCTTTATTTGGGGTCCATTAATACTTTTGACCTGATAATATAAAAAAATAAATAATATATTAAAAAAATAAGTTGTCATCTCATTAAAAAAAAGTTTTCGGTGCCAACTTAAATGTTACTTAAAGGAAAGATGACAAATAAATACTTGCTGAATTTTAAAATGATAAATAAATGATTTTGACCTGTCAAAATTATTACAAAAATAATCAGCATAATCTATTTATCTTTTTAATAGGTATTTTTTTGTTATTTTTCCTTACTTAAATCTAAACCAATTAATTGTGATGGATTTTAATTTTTTTAAAAAAATTATATCTAAAATTTATCTTGATTTAAATTTTAATATCAATCAAACACATCTTAAAAAATTAAAGTTGGTAAAAAGAGTTGTCATACATTATAAACATCCAAACAAGAACTTGCAGACACATGGACAAGATCACATGGAACAAGTTGAAGAGTGGGATGGGTGTGGACTGTGAACATGTGAAAAAGAAAGGCTTAGGCAGTTAGCTCAGGCCGAAAAAGAAGGGCTTAGCCGCTTAGGTAGGTATTTAGGCTTTGTTTGGTTCCACGGAAGGAAGGAGAGAGGAAGAAAAATCATGGTTTTGTTTGGGTTGGAAGGGAGGGGAAGAGAAGAGAGATTTCTTATTTGGTTCATAAGAAGAGAAGATGGGAGGTAATTATAAATTGATAAATATTTTTATCTCTATATTTAGACTGATTTATTTTTTATTACAATATTTATATCAAAATTATTATTTCTTAATTTATCAATTTAAAAAAAAATTTCCTCACTTACATATGATAAAAACTAAAAAAAATTAGAAAATATGATAAAAAGTTTAATATTCTATCTCATTAGTTTTATAAATATATGTATTAATATATATGATATGTATATATTATATAATTATAACATGCACGTTATGATATGTATGTATATATGCATGTTATCTGAGATTATAATACATACATGCTATGATATATAATTATAATACACACATGTTATGATATGTATATATTAATATGTATGATGTGTATATATTATATAATTATAATATTATATTATCATTATCAAACATTATTAGTGGTTAAAAAGAGAAATAAGTGAAAAAATATTTTTAATAAGATAGATAAACTTGGAATATTAAAAAGTTGGTATGGGTAGTTTGGTCAATATTAAACATAATATTTTTCTCTCCTTCAAAAAACTCCAAATTTGGAAGAAGCATGGGGAGAGGAGGAGAGCACTAAAAAACAAATTTTTTCCCTCTTCTCCTATCTATTTTTTTTCCAACCAAACACGCTCATTCCCTCCCCTCACCTCAACAACCTTCTGACCAAACAGAGCCTTAGGTGGTAATCTTGACGGTGGGATCCACTGCCCTTTAATTTCTATTTTATATTACGATCGCATCGTCTTCGGTTTTGAACAAGTCCACACGTATTTTTTTTCCCTCACCATGAATTTTATCATATCGATAAAGAGTGTGCCTCACTTTAGTTTGATTTTAAAGTATGAAAATTCATCAACCATGATGTCCTCCTATTTTTAATTAAAAAGATGTTTAGGCGAATATCACATTATAGTTTTAAAAATAATTTTATAGTATACGAAGTAAATATATGGAGATGTTTGTTTCAATTTGCAAAAAAAAACTTTTTAAAAACACTTTCTTTATTATTCAAATACATCCTAAGTCTTAATTATTAAACTGATTTTGATTTTAAATATAAGACTTATTTTTTTATATTTATTAATTTTTTTAAATTATCCCTATTGATATTCTCTGATTATAATCAAGTAGAAGATGAATAAGGGTATTAAGAAAGATGATTATGATATTTAAAAAAATATGTCATATTTCTTAAAATTAATTAACTTATTTAACTTTCTTAATTTAATCAAATTAGTTAAATAAATTTTATATTAATTAAATACTAGAGGAGTATATATCATAAACAAGAATAAATCAATTAATTAGCTGATTATGTGCATTATTTTACATCAACAGCCTTGCTTTTTTTTTTTTTTTTAAGATCAACAGCCTTGCTTTTGAAGAAAGGAAAAAACATAAAAAGCAGACTGAAGTCAAATGAAATGATGTTATACTTGAAGGGTAATTAAACCAACTATTTCGAATAATATGTTAAGGCTGCGGATTACGAGCTATTTTTTTGGTCTTTAATATAAAATCTTATTTGATTTTTATGTTGGTTCTAAATATAAAATCTCGATCCACTTTATCTTTTATATTTATGTATTTTTTTCTAAGATAGTCCTTCTAATAATAGTAGTTTTAGTCAATATAATTGATTAGTAAGGATAGTTTAAGAAAGACAGCACCTATTTATTACAAATAACTAACTTAATTTATTTTCTTAATCTCCTCAAATTAGTCAATTGGGTTTTATAATTAGGACCGAAAGTAATATCATTTAGTACATAAAATTGTATTGATTATGTTTTTCAGCTATGAAATCTTGAGATGGGATTGGAATCGGATGACATAATATAATGCTCCCTCCCACCCTTAATATAATAACTAGTTAAAAAGTTAGATTTAGTTTTAAATATAATATTTCATCCCATTTATCTTATATTTATACATTTATCATATTCTTCTAAATTAATATACTTAATTTATAGATGATATATAATTAATATAATATTATATAGGAATATTTTAAAAAGATCAATATTTATTATAATAAATAATTTATTTAATTTTTTTAATCTACACAAACTCGATGCTTAAATTACTGGGAACGAGCCAGCCCATGTGCTATTGGCTGATTCACACACACACATAGTGCTTATATATGAATTATTATTTAAATTATATTGGCGAGGGTTCAGTATCAGACAAAAATGTCACATAATTTCACGTGTCACGTTCACTTTATCTTTTTGCATCAAAGTCGGGCAAAGGACAGAATAAAATGCATGCTCAGTTTACAATGAGGGTGGCTATGAATATTAAATGGAAAAGAATTTGGCACCAATAAAATATTGTGCACTTTGGAAATACGAGATGATATTAAATTTTAACAACAATGAATGGCTTAATGCTATCAAAGTCTTTCGTGAATTAAGTTTTTTTTCCTTTACAATTTGAAATTATAATAATATACCTAATATATTAATATAAAATTAGTGCATCCCGACAAAAGCACCTAAACAACTTTACTGAAAGGAAATAAAAAGTAAGAAAAGGAAAGCAAAGACTAATTAACGTAAGTGACGGATGTGGAAATGAAATGTGGCGTGGTGGAAGTCAAGATTTACATTTTGAATATATTAAAAGGGACAAAAATATAAAACTAGAAAAAATAAGAATAAAAATTGATCTTTTATATTTTAATAACAAAAAATAGAAAAATGGATTAAAAAAGTTAAAGAGGCATGCTGCTCACATTTTTTTCCCTCTTGGAAGTGGAATCCTTGGTGCCTTTACTTTAGCAATTGGGCACATATTTTTTTTTCCTCTAAAAATCGCTTCAAAATAAAAAATAGTTATAAAAAAAGTATTTTATAAAATTAATTATTTATACAAGAGAGTCTAGGTACTTCCTCAGTTCCTCTAGAAGATGTATTGCTTTTTCAAACCCGCCTTCTTTGACTAATTCATCAGTTTTCTTTGAAATCAGGGCCATTCGCGTCTTCCTTTAACGCCATCAAATATTTAAAGACCAGGGAGAGCAGGACCCGAAATTCTTTTTTTTTTTTAATAACCATCTAATACTCACTACAGATCTCCATTTAAGTATTATTGAGCATAATTATAAATCGAATTCTTCTAAAATATTTTTTCCATGTAAAATTCCCTTTTACTTAATACTCCCTTTTGATTCCATTTGATTACAGGGCATAGAAAAAATATTTTTCTTCATATAAGTTATCTTATTGAATTTATTATATAAAGGTATAATTTTATCTCTAATTTATTGTTCTTACTTAGTTAGGTTTCTTTATTAACTATATATATTAGATAGAAATGAAATCAAAAATTTATCTTTTAAATAAAATATGTTGGAAGTGTTTTATAAATATAATATGAGGAATATATAAATACTAATCATTGTTCCAATTACTCCTCTGTCCATTTTTATAAGGAACTTTGAACTCCGTTGCGTTAATAAAAAAAGTTATTAAAGATAATAAATGGATAGAAATTAAAAGTTCTTTTCCAAAATATGAGAGAGAGTACAAGAAAGAGAATAATAAAATTATTATAATAAAAAAATTATGAAAAAGAAAGAATGTGTGATGAAAAGAGATGATAGTTTGGAAAATAAAATAATAAATAGAATATTAAGATAAGTAATTAATGAGAATAAAATATAAAATTTGTTATAAAACTTTAAAACAACTTATAATATTGTTTATATTTAGAAATAAAAAAGAAATGATAGTTATTGCTTACAAAGGAATACTTGATAATATATTTAAAGCACTCCAATTACTTAGCTACACTTGACTTGAGCTGACGAAGCACACCGATGAGCAAGTGTGGCTATAAATAGAAGTTTCCACTCTGCCAAAAAACCACACCTATCCATCCGCTTCTCCTATACTTCCTTCTTCATTTTCATTTATATAGTCTTCATCTTCTTCTTCGTCTTCAAGTTCATCAGAATCATGGGAGTTTTCTCATACGAGCACGAGCACACCTCCACTTTACCTCCCCCTAAGCTTTTCAAAGCTTTCACTAAAGATTCCGATGAGCTCATCCCTAAGGCCGTCGAGCCCATCCAGAGCGTCGAAAACGTCGAGGGAACCGGAGGCCCCGGCACCGTCAAGAAGCTCACCATCCTTGAAGGTAATATTATAGATTAATTCCACTCTCAACTTCTTCTGGTCATCACCAAACTTAGATCAGTACTATATATCCAGACTTAATTATCATTGTCTTCGATATTCATTGGATCAATAAGATTTTAACGATCACTTATTCAGAAGATTTCCAAAATCAAAAACTTGACGAATAAAACATTCCACCATGCCGGCCGGAGCTCCCTCTGTGAGACCTAATAATATTCAAATTTAAATCAGTCGATGACATCAGAAGAAACAAAAATCTTAGATCGAATCGAAAGAGGTTGAAGTGAAGTTGATGATGGATGGATATATATGTGCAGGAGGGAAGACCCATCATGTGTTGCACAAAGTAGAAGCAGTGGACGAAGCTAGCTTTGTATACAATTACAGTATAGTGGAAGCGAGCGACTTGCCTGAGACGGTGGAGAAGATCTCGGTGGAGACGAAGCTGGTGGAGGGTCCGAACGGAGGAGCCGTAGCAAAGATCAGTGTGAAGTACTTCACCAAAGGCGATGCTCAGCCGAGCGAAGAGGAACTCAAGACCGGCAAAGCCAAGGGCGATGCTCTCTTCAAGGCCATCGAAGCTTACCTCCTGGCTCACCCTGAATACAGTTAAATTAAGTTAATCACTTAATTATGCCTTTGATCTGGCTCTTAATTAAGGGTTTGTGTGGTGCTGCTTTGTGTGGGTTGGTTTGTGTTCTGCGATCAAGGCTATGACATGGCCTTTGTAATTTGATGAAAAGCTTGAGTTTGTCTCCGGGTTTGATATATATATATAAATATATATATATATATATATATATATAGATAGATATATATAGAGATTTGAGGAATAAATATTTCAGGATTGGATGTTTCTCAATCGTGTTTAGCCGATTCACTTACACTATTACCTGCTCATTTTGTTGGAGAAAAAGACGAACAAAGTTTCACCAAGAGTAAATATATACATGTTTTTCGGTTTTAAATATAAGACTTCTTTTATAGTATAAATTTACACTATTGTATTTAGAACCGGAGGAGCATATATATATTTTTATGTAATGAGAGAGGATTTATGCATTATTCGACAAGTTATATGTAGATGTATAAATGTGTTAACTTTGAAAATAAACTCGTGGAAATGACAATATTTTGAATATTTAGAGCAAAGAATGTGAAATATAAATATTTATATAGTTGAGAACATGATACTGTACGTATGCTAGCTAGAGTAATATTGTTCGCTACAGTTATGTTCAATAATGTTTGTTTGTACTGCACTTTTATCCCCCAAAAAAATGTACAAGGGAATATTACCGGAATCAATGGGATTACCAACTCAAAAAGTGACATTTAGAAAAGTCATGTAAATGGTTTAATTAGTTAACCCCACCTAGATATAAACAACTCGCGGTGGGTCAATTACTTAATTCAGTACTCCTTTTAAAATTAATCTTGTATCTGCAGTTACCAACCACTTGTGCAAGTGGGTCTGCACCTAATAATTAACACAAATTTTAGGTGTCGCCATACTCACCCCATATAATTAAGGGAAAATTTTACTGTAGGACCGCATAAGACAATTAATCTCAAAGAACCTCCAAAACTTTCTGAAACCTCACTGCAGGACCAAGGGGCCAATCTGATATTAATTCCACAAATGAAATGACGCCACTGCCCCTAGTAGGAGGGAACAAGTGCGGGAGAGTGCATTTGCAATGAGAATTAGCCAATTTGCAGAATAAATACATATGTTCACACGTGGAATCAGTCCGTTCACATGTGGACTGGTTCACCTGATGCATGTGTCCGTGAGGGAACAAGTGTGGGAGACGCATTTGCAAGGGAAACTAGCCAATTTGCAGATGAAATACATATATTCACACGTGAAATTAGTCCGTTCACATGTGGACTGGTTCACCTGATGCATGCGTCCATGAAGGAACAAGTGCGGAAGAGCGCATTTGCAAGGGGAATTAGCCAATTTACAGAATAAATACATATATTCGCATGTGAAATCAGTCCGTTCACATGTGGACTGGTTCACCTGATGCATGCGTCCGTGAGGGAATAAGTGCGGGAAAGCGCATTTGCAAGGGGAATTAGCCAATTTGCAGAATAAATACATATATTCACACGTGGAATCAGTCCGTTCACATGTGGACTGGTTCACCTGATGCTAAGGGTAGTGGCGTCATTTCGTTTGTGGAATTAATATCAGATTGGCCCCTTGGTCCTGCAGTGAGATTTCAGAAAGTTTTGGGGGCTCTTTGAGATTAATTGTCTTGTGCGGTCCTACAGTGAAATTTGCCCTATAATTAAGTTCATTGATTAACCCCCCGGGGGAAATTGAAATGCATTAATGTGAATTAGTGCATAACTACAAATTAAATTATAAATTTGCATTTTGCTCAAAACTAAAACGATATTAGAAGACTTTAAGATATTTAATTTACTATGTGAAGATAAACTGTACTCCTCCATTCCTTAATATAAGACCCATTTAAGTAATTTGATTAGATTAAAGAAGTTAAGTAAGTTAGTTAATTATAAGAAATGTGACACATTTTTCCTAAAATACTATAATTATCTTTCTTAATACTCATCTCCTTCTTCTACTTGATTATGGTTGAGGGAGTATCTGTAGGAGTAATTTAGAAAAAATTAATAAATATGAGAAATGAGTCTTACATGTAGGATCAAAACCAACTCAAGAATTAGGTCTTATATTAAGAACCGGAAAAATAATTTTTTTAACGTTAGAAGACTCCTCCATTTGGGCCATGAAATGGCTTGAATCCGAATCATTAGTAAGCATCGGATACTTAATGTAATTGTCAATTTGTCACCCGAAAAAAAAAATTTCGCAATAATTAATAACTAATGTGAATTATGCAATAAATAATTGGCAACTGAGAGCAAGGCCGGCATGAAAATTAATATACAAGACAGCTTTGTCAGGTGGAAAGCAAACAGAGCTTGTAGGTGAAGTCAAGCTTACTCATAAGATACGTATTTTATCATATTCACACAAATACATGACCATATCTTCAAAACCGATATTTCGGCCATTTATAAAGCTTCAACCTCATAACTTTTCCTACACTCTTTATATTACTTGGGATCACATTCTTAACAAATTAAACAAACTAATAATATGAAATTGCTGTATGATATTTAGTGTAATAGAAGTCACCCCATTTCAGCTTCATTATATTTGCTTTTATGAAGTCATGATAATATAACACTACCTCCGATTCTATATATATATATATATATATATATAAAAGATCTATTTTAAATTACATTATAAAGTACATTTTATATTTAGAACCGAACGGTAGATATGGTTGATAGTTTCAAACAAGAATTTCAACGGACTATTTAATGTGATGAAGAAATTCCAACCCACTCTTTTGAATTTTGGACACCTTATTCTAATACTTTGAAGAAACGACAAGAACTCACGTCAGTCAAGCGCCCCGTAACCGCATATTTAATTGGGGGGACCAAATTTGACGTATTGCTACAAACACATTGAAAGTGATCATCAAGTTCTTAAAATACTCCCTTCCATTATATTTATTTAATACAAGACCTGATTAGAAAATTAATATTGATCTTATATGAAAAACTTATCTTATCTATTTATCTTTTTTTTTTCAAATTAACTCTATTAATACTTCCCAACAATAATCAAGTAGGAGAGAGAGGAAGAAAATTAAAAAAGATGTTTAAAGTGTTTTAAAAAAAATATATCATATTAACTAATTTAACTAACATTCTTAATCTAATCAAATTAGTTAATTAGATCTTACATTAAGGATCGAAGAAGTATATAATTTTTTTTGATAATCAACTGGATCTATTTATAAGATATACTTAAAGGATATATATATATATATATATAATTTTGATTAATTTTGTAATAGTTATCATTATTAATTACATGTTATATCATTGTATTAATTCATTATTATTCACTCAATCTGTTTGCATAAATAAGAGGATTTTTGGAAAATAAAATATTTTCACACATTTATTGTAACCTTTTCATTTATGTAATTCGATTTTTTTGTATTTTGTGTATAAGACTGGATGGGATATTGTAGAGGGCCGCTTGACAAATTAATTTACTAAAGTCTTCAAATCTCGTGAAGTTAGGCTTCGAACTTTCTCGATAGTAAACAAAATAACTTATTAAACAAAACTTAGGTAAGTTGCACTTTTTTTTTATTATTTAGTATATATTTTCAAACATAACTTTAAAAACTAAGAAATAAAATTCGATGAGAATGATATTTTTGTCCCTAGTGTTTTTAGCAGATAATATATTTGTTTAAAAATATTATATTTATTCTAAGAAATAGTGTTATTTTCTGGGAACTAAAAAATTGAAACAAACAGTTGGCTATAAGCTTTTTGGTCCAATAAGTATACTTCCAAGAAAGTTTAGTGAAACAAAAGTAGGTAAATTACTAAATTAATTTTATGAGACACAACAAGTATCCCCTCAAGAATAAATCTCCCTTGAGATTCCAAACCACGAATTTAATGATGGGTTGAATGGTGTGACTTGTTTAATAAACGTATATTCTTTTTTTTTTTGTTGCCTACCCAGTTCACCGGAGCTTTGTTCCGATTACATCTGAATCCGACTCACATCGCGCACCTAGCTGTGATGAGTGAGTCTCACAACAGGGATTTCTGTATACATTGAAGCTCGAACTCGAGACTCGCTTAAGCGATACCAAGTTGCTTACCATTTAGACCAACTCCCGTTGGTAATAAATGTATATTCTTTATTTACTTAAAACATTGAAAGTAATATTATGGGCCAAACTTGTATTTGTTCGCAGTTCAAATCACGCTAGTCTGATTCGGTCAGCATGTGGGCCGATATCGAATTTTCAAAAAAATGCTTCATGGGAAGTCTAAGCTAACAATCCATGATTAGTCCAAGAATTTTTTTTCCCCAGATGCTACCTCCAATCCTAATTATAAGATCTTATTCTACAAATAAGATAAGATCTTATAATTAGGATCGAAGGTAGTATTTTAAAGATATCCCATATTTAATTAGAAAAAATATTACTCCTTTTGAGCCTAGCGTGTGAGGCCATCATTGTGATAATTTACCATTGGAGGGGTTTTTTTTTTTTTTGGGTAATGGATGGTTAATTATATAATTAGTGTGATTGGATGCCAAGTCATTTTGGTCCTCAAATGCCCAAATATATATTTGGCCCAATCCACCTAAGTTTTTCATTCAATGTATGATTCTGCCTAAACCTCACGATTCTCCATTTAGGGTAGAGGCATTGTCTAAATCCGACAAGCAAAAAGACAATTTGTCATTAATTAGTCTAAGCTTTATAAATTGGCACTGAAATATAATCACCATGTGACATATTTCCTAAAAATATTATATGGAATTTAAAGAATGAATTGTACTATTTAATAATTTGTGAATAATATGACTAATTATAAATAAGATTTTAAAGAATGATGCTTCTTATTCAATAAAAATAATGATTGGAAGAAAACTAGTCTCAAAATATTAAATAAAATGTGAATTGGAGAATCTCTCAGTTGGGTCCCCTAGACAAGCATATATACAAATGAACCAAATAACAAACAAGAGTTTCATCCCCTTTTGATATAAACATCATTAATGATTCCTGGAAAGTGGATATCCTTCAACTCAAGGTCAAAAAAAAAAAAACAGAGAGATATCCTTCAACCAAAAAAGCTACTTTGATCCTTTTGACTTCACTGTGGTCGGTTTTGGATCATACCCTAACTCTTAAATATCCCACCATCATAAAACGGTCATCCTTCTTTAAAGCAAAATTCTCAGAATTATAGAAACTCATCAATCCAAGCTTGAGAAAATGAATTCCAGGGACCAATCAAGCAATACCAGTTCTCTCTCTTCAAAAAAGAGATTCTTTTTTAGTCCCCACTTCTTTTTTTGGCCTTTAACACATTCCCTTACCATGTACAAATAGATGCTACGCACTGATTCTTCAGCCATAGACATATTTCTTATTTCCTGCAATTCCACAGCTTCACAACAATTCTTATCTAACTCTCCTTGTTCATCATCAAATGCAGAGGCCTCAAATCACGGAGATACAGCTCCGAATGGACTGTAATGGCTGTGTGCAGAAGATAAAGAAAGCACTCAGTGGCATTAATGGTAAGCATATTGTAACATCATTTATCTTTCTAAATCATTCTGTAATCTAGCCATGACTTAACTAACTATATGATACAAACTTTACCTTCAAATAGGTATATATGATCTATATATCGACTTCCCTCAGCAGAAAATAACAGTTATCGGATGGGCGGATCAAGAAAAGATTGCCAAGGCTATCAAGAAGACAAGGAAGACTGCCACCATTTGTTCTCCTGCTGAGCCAGAAGAATCTCCATATCAACCTCCAGAACCTGGACCTGCACCTGATGGATATGCACCGGCTCCTGATTCAGCCCAGCAACCGCCGCCGGCAGAAGTTACACCAGATGAAATACCGCCACAAGAAGAACCGCCAGAAGATACATCACCACCTGAGGCAACCATACCAACGGACAACAAGGTAAGCCAAAAGTCAGAGAACATCCCAGGAGCAAAAGATGTAGGGAAGGTTCATGCGATACACCAATATCCGCCATACTATGGCAACAGATTCGATTCTGGTCACAACTACGTTGGATGCTGGAATAGATACCATAATAGCACAATATATTCACAGGAGCCATCATCTTCAATGTACCTGCCACACAGCCACTGTAACGCGTATAAGCCATCAGCTTCTGTCACGGAATATGAATATATCAGATCACCACCAAGGCACCCTTATTACAGTCGTATGGAATACTACAGTGGAGACTACCAAAGTGGCAATGCAAACATCACATCTATATTTAGTGATGAAAATCCAAATGCATGTCGGATGATTTAAGCTTCAGATCATCAAGAACTGCTGTGCTAGTAAAAAGATGACTCTTTTTTTAGTTCAGATGCTCTTTGAAAGCAGATATTTCGTAAAACGGTAGAACTTGATGGAGGAAAAATGGAGATGTTTGGGTACACATGTAAGAATGGAGAAGAATTAGATTCTTAATTCTTATCTTACAGAGAGATTCTGAATTCCTTTCGTGAAAGCACAAGGCACGTTAGCTAGTATTTCATATGCAGAAGCATATTGACATGTGCAAAGCCTTTGTTTTCAACAAAATTGACCCAAGTAGATCTCTGTCTTCCTTATTCGACAACTAATCTTCCCTGAACTCAATGGTCATATGGCCAAAAATAATAAGCATGCTGGATAGGCGTGAGTATATGGAAACTAACATAATACTTCTAATCTTAATTATAATACCTCGTTTATAGTTTATAATCAGGACTAGAGGTAATATATTATTTCTGAAATTCTCACTCTTATTTAGTTTGTCAATCTAAAGATAGGTAATAACAGGTCTGTGCCCGCACAGTCATGCTCCGCTAGAGTGATTTGTACGTGCATGTTACCCCAATATATAGAAGAGAGTAACAGACATGGCGAAAAAAGAAGAGTCACAGAGATCTCTAAAACACTTGCAAAGGGCACACAACACAATTACTAACTTCGATCCAACACCTAACTTGTATATAAATATTAAGAAAATTAGTTAGTTATTTATAAAAAAAAATTGTGTATTGATTTTTCTAAAGTATTCTTATAGTCATTTACACTGAAAACTACTATCTTTGACCCTAATTATAAGACTTTGTTTGCAAACTTATAATTAGGACCAGAGGTAGTATCTCTTAGTGATTACCTTTTATTATGTGTAAAGGAAGTTTGGGAATAGAATTATAAATTTGAAAAATAAAATAAATTAAAATAATATATTTTGGACACCAAAAAAAAAAAAAAACCCTTCTACAAGGCACTACTTATATTTAAGATGCAAGTTAGTACTGTCCTGGCCTTTAATATAAGGCATAATTAGCTAATTTGAGTAAATTAATAATGTTAATTAAATTAGTTAATATGATATATTCTTATTTAAAACATCCTAATCATCTTTCTTAATTCCTTTCCTCCCTTTCCTACTTGATTATTGTTATAAAAATATTAATAAAGCTAATTTGGAACAAAATTGATAAAAATAAAAAAAAAGTCTTATATATGGAACTACCGTCATTAAGAACCGGACGAGTATCATCTAATGCTACCCACATGCCTCCAAATTAGAGCGAACCAGACACGCTTATCAGTTTATACCGGTCTACTACGCAAAGTCTTAAAATAGAGGCAGATGTTTGATGGCTTCACAAAGTCCGACTCATGTATTGGTGATATCGCATGGTTGAAAGCACACGGTCTGTAGCATTCAGGTGGATCGGTGTTAACTGAGCATCTAACCATGTCTCGGAAGTTTAATAATAGCAAGATAGTAAAGTAAATAAATGCTGCACAATTGAGATACCCACTTGATAACGAATAATTTATGGGCTGTATCATTTCATACATGTGCTCCGGATAGTACAAAAATTCTCGCTGAGAGGGAACTCATTATGGAAAATCCTCCCAGCAAGGTTCACAAACAAGCTGACTCATGGAACGTTTTAAGAGGCCAAAATTTGAAAAGCCCAAGTCCCAACCCAATTAAATTACAACTATCTTTGCACCCATGGGGGGAATAAATAAATCATCTACTTCAACTATTAGGCTATTATATAATATGCGTAGACAACACTTTTTTTTCCCTTTACATAGAGAATTACCTCTCATCAAAATTCGAACTAGTTCTCATCATCATCACTACTTATTTCAGATGCATCATCCCCTTCCTCTTCAAAAGAATCCTCGTTGTCCTCATCTTCGCTTTCTTCCATTTGAGGATCTCGCACTGAACGAGTTGTATCTTGAGAAGCTTTGTTAATCTGAAGGAATTTTAAACATGGCCATTAGACCCCAATAGCTTTAACAGTGAGACCAAATAAATTGAGGGATGTGATTAAACCTGTGTTGTCACCAATTGCAGACGACCTGATAATTGTAACAAAGTCTCAACTGCAGATCCTCTAGAGCGAGCCATCTGTAAGGTGAAATACGCTATTTCATTTTCTCAAGAGTTATTAAATTTTCTCTTTTCTTTCCGATTGTAACACCAGCCTCACGAATTCAAGTCGTGACAGCAGATATAAAGCATTTAAATGAGAAAGCAAACTAGAAATGTAATATCTGCAGCAATACCTTGGTCAAGGCATCAAGCATATTTGTCACATTTTCCTGAGAGATTAAGTAGTGACCATGAATCACTAATATGCTATATATCCACGGAAGAGCGTACTTGCCAGTAGATGACCTGCCCAAGACATTATTATTCACATCAATTTTATCAAGCGCATTGGTCGAACCATTTAGGGAAGAAAATTATTGGTTAATGCATTAATTACTTATAACATTTAAGTGTACAGAAGGGCAAAATAGGGGGGGGGAGTATTAAATGATCTAAATATTATTAAACCGGACTTATATTTTGGACCAAGTAAAGCTGGGAAAAAAGGACTGATATTGCGGACCTGAGGAGCACGTTGTGCAAACCAAAATAGAAATGAAACAAAAACCAAAATAGGAATAAAAAACCTGCATTTCCTCCGATGTAAAATACCTCACTAAAAGATAGAAAAGAAAGATATCAAACCTTGATCGCCAAACAGCCAGCAAAACTTCCAGGAGCTTACATGCTTCAGATGGCTCCATGGTCAAGACGGTTGCTCTTATCTGATAAATAAATCGATTCAGGAGCATAAACAAATACATGTGGTGCAACTTAAAAAATGAAAGTATAATATAGATTATGACGACAATTGGATCATAATTCATAAGTAAAAGAAAAACAAACGACAATGACTCAGCTAAAGAAAACAAACCTTTCTCATTGGAAGATTAGCATCAAGATCAACACGCTTCAACAATGAAGAATTAAATTTGATATTTGATTCAAGATCATTTTCATCATCAAGCATCCTAAGAGATCTCATCTGTTCCTCCATGCAGATCACATCAGTCTCGTCCTGGGCCATCTCATCTGCACAGATTGATAAAATCAACATGCAAAGTCAAGAAGTGCCATTCAATCTTTCAGTATCAGAAGATAAAGGCTTAGGACAACAAAAACGGATTCATATACGAGGGAGGAAACAAAAATCCATAGCAAAACCTGCATCAGTGATGAAGGAAAATATGAAAATTACAGTTCATTAAATTGTTGTTTAATTTCTTGCTTTGCAGAAAATATAGAAGTACGATAAACAGATGAATGTTTATAATCATGTTGTCAAGAATCAAGATAGCTATTTAGACAGTAAACTCCAAAGATCTTAAGATTACCTACCCCTAAAACCATCCTGAGCCTATGTGGTACGAAAAATGGCAAGGACCAGGCTATCCTCCCCGACCCTGGAAGATTGCATGCATAAATTTACCTTTTTGAATCCTAGAATTGCATGCATAAATTTACCTTTTTGAATACTGGAGTGCCGCTTTCTAGCTCAAATTAACCCTCTATGATTATAGTTGTTGATTTTCTTTTCTTTTTATTGTGTGTTGACCATTGTTTTTCTTGAATGATTGCTCGATAGACTTGATTATTGAACGTGTCTAGGTTTAACTGATTATTGTAAGCCCTTTATCTAGTGAATTGTGCCTTTTATGAGGGGTGCCTTGTTTAATGTATAAATATTATCACTTCAGTAACTAAAGGTTGTTTTATTTTTTTGGCCAGAACTAAAGGTGTTTAGACGTGAAATTTTGCGACTTTTGTAACCCATAACTCATTTTATTGAAGTATGATGAGGTTTGTATGGCTTTACACTTACATAAGAATTCTATGTAATTTATACAAATTTTTTGCCATAAAAGGGAGCATTTTAGAATTCAATCTTTTAACCCCTCATTGATCCTACATAAAATTTTGATCTTGATAACCTTGTTTCCAGTAAAGATAATTGCCAAGAGCCACGTCCAAAACAAGAGCTTAATCAGCAAAGGTCCATGAATAGTTTAATTATAAACTCTACCATGTTCACATAGTTGATCTATTACCCAACTACTTCATTCGACAATAAAGATGATAGATCTTTGCAGTACCTTCAATCTCCATAGATACAGATTCACTACTTCTAACCAAACCATCCATAACTTCCTTGCCTGAAGAGTCTTGAAATTCTTGCTCTTGCACATGAGAATCAAAAAGCTTAGGAATTGGGAGCAGAGCATCCTCTGCATTAGCACGGTCTAGCGCAGTAACTGTCAAATGCAAGACCAAAAGTTAACATAATTGAAAATAACATCAACAAAGACCAACAAAATTTATAGGCTAGATACTATATACTAATTAAAAGGATCAAATGACAAGATTATGATCACCAAAGCAAGCATATCATAAGGCAAATTAATGAGAAGTTCTCATTCGTGAGAACAAGGGAAATGCTAGTGACAGTTCTGTAAAGACAATAAATTGTCACCTTTTTTTACATCTTTTGCCTTCTTAGGCTTTGCGAGGGACTTGTTCAACCGAAGAAGAACACCATCATCAGAGAAATTCAATTTTATGTCTGAGCCAGAGTGCACTGAAATTTTTTGAAACGATGGTTTTACAAGCAACCCATGAACAAGTAAAATCTGCCCAGAGGTAGGATTGTGGATGCCTTCTAACTTTGCAGCATATATTGCTGGCAATGCACCCATGTAATTTCTGGAAGATATCTCTTCCAAAGATAATGATATTTTAATGGGCTTCACATTGCGTAGTTCCTCAATATTATTTCCAAACCAAACATAACAATCACCAACTTCTGAGATAGCCAAAACAGATACTCCAACATTGTCAAGCTCCCTGCTAGGAGTGCACCTGCTATCAAGAAAAACAGCAGGATGATCCATTGCAAGAACACAACTAACTGACTTCTTTTTTGCCCCATCAATCCTCCAGACAGCAACATATCTTTCCCCAACAGCAGAGGATAGAATATACTGCCCATCTTCAGTGAAGGCAAGACACCGAACAGATCCCTATTAATTTAATTTAAAAAGTCAGACAATGCTCACAAAGACAACAAAGAAAATCAATGCTTATCTTCAGGGACAAATGCAAAGGGGAATAACACAGTATACTATACACAAACACACACACGACACTCACAGGATGGCCAAAGAACTTCTGTATCTTCTTGTGATCAGAACAATTAAAAATTTTTAGTTGTGCTGCTGCAGTAGCTATTGTCTTCCCATCTGATGCAAGTGAATCAAATAAAGCAGAAAATTCAGAAGGGGAAAAAAATGTCAGAATTTTGCAGGTTAATGTAAATAATGATTTGTAGAAGACTTTGAGTGAGTACAACTCAGGAAGTATTGTTTAGAGTTTAGCATGGACCATTTAACAACCATAGAGCTAAAGGCATGGTTGGTTTTCATTCTATTTAAAACAACTATGCAACTAACTTGAGAGTAGATGTCTCGTTACAAAATGCTGATTGAATCAGGATACATAAAACCTAAGTTTCCTAGTTAGTAGTTATGGCCCCTTGCAATGTACCAGAAGCTCCACTGTTTCCCGGGAAATCTAAAAGACTTAAACCCTAATTCAGATTGTGCCCTTAGTAAAATAAAATAAAAGTGTCAACTTCATTTCCTACGACCAAAAACTAAGAGTCCTGCAAAAGCTGTGAAGCATACATACCTGAAGAAACAGACATACAGGATATTGCCTTTGTAGAAGCTTTGAATTTTTCCAACAGGTTTCCTGTCTTACAATCAATCTTGCAAATCATTCCATCTGCACCTGCAGTATAGACACATGATCCATTTGTAGAAGATGAAACAGCTTTCACGCCTCTGCAGGTGAATGAGCAAGAAAGAGAAAAATGAATCGATAAAGTAAATGTCATGTTCTTATTTAACAGTGGGGAAGTAAATATCATCAAACCCGTCAAAGTAAAAATGAATTTTGCCGGGGATAAACTCATGAAGAGGTTAAGAAAGAAAAAGAAAGTTATTGAGTTTCAAATAAAACCACAAATTCCATGTAATCAACTCATCACAATTTCAAACCCTTACTGGAAACAAACGGGTAAAAATCATAGAAAGAAAGAGAAGTAGAAAAGAGACCCAATATCTCTATATGACAAGCCTAAAGTTTTACAGCACAAATAGCATTAAATATTTTTAGAATATGACAAGATAAAGAGAACATGTTGACAATGCTTCCTCCTATGGAACCAATACATCCAGATATTATGGTGTTGGAGTAATGAATCTACCCCTCTCATTAGCCGCTATCATATTTCAAAATACTGTAGAAAGAGTGCAGATTGCGAGTCTTTGTTAAGGACAAATGATCTAGGACTTACCCAGGATGGCAGTCACCAATTCTCCAATTTAATTGACCAGCAGACACATCAAGTGCCAACACGTCACCACTACCTGTTCCAAGTACTAACAATGAGGATGTGTGCTTCCTTTTTCTCTGCAATAATTAGCAGTATCAGGAGCAAATATTCTCTAAAGGCAAAAACAAGTACACAACATAATTACAATGAGCCAACCAACCTTTTCTTCTAATGACAACCACTTCATGCATGTATAATCTATTGAAAGATGGCCTTTCACTGATCCTGCATATATACTTGCTGCATCACTTGATGTGATGTCAGCAAACTCCGTCTGGATTTGACCATTAACTGTATCCCATATCTATACAAGAAATTGTAAATGTGTCACAAACTCTTTGAATGTAAAAACATTCATCTTTGATCATTCAAATTCAAAATTGTTCCCATAAAGAATAAGAGTATATGTTTTAAGTCACAAAAGCATGATGTGAAGCACAAAAGGGAGCCACTTTATATATTAAAACCTAAGAATTGTAGGCCTGAAATTTGGTTTTTACCATTAGAACTACCTGACTGTTCGCAATACATGGCCTTAAAGTGTTCCCCTTCCAACACATCATGCAACAAGTTACAAGATATAGCCACATGCTACTTGACATGTGTTGTGAGTTCATAATTTAGAGCTATGAAGCACCCAGAAAAAGAAGTCGTGACTGCATTTGACATGTATCGCAAACTCATATATTCACATTGAAACCAAACATCTTAGATTTATTGATGCAGCCATTGCCATGTTTGTAACAATTTTAGCTCAATGAGTTTTTCCCGAACCAAAAAATTATCTCATCTTGAGTCCAATGATAAAACAACAATTAGTGTCAGCCTAACAAAAGTATAGAACACGAAGGAAAGACATTTAATATGAACTAGTAGACTACTGATTTTCCAAATAAATAATGGAAAATTTATTTGAAAAACTGTTGTGAAATTCATCAAGAATAGGATCTCAAACTTTTGCCCCAGCCAATGGAGTATAATTTTAAGAAGAGGATGAAAACCAACCTAGAATAATCACAAGAAACAGGTGAAAACAAAGGCTACGTCAACGGAAATAAATAGCAAAGAACAGGAAATTGAAACTAAGTTATACATACTCTCCCTAAAAACCTTTTATACCTCGGAAACCGTTAGCCTGCATGGTTTCATATCCACTAATAAACCGTCTACAGTAGACCCTAACCCCATTACTTCCAGGTCCTTGACCTACTTGATCCAAAACTACCCAAAAAAGAAATGAATAAATAAATCCTCAATTTGGTCTAACATTGAAGACAAGTTATCTTTTTGAAGCCTAACTCTTGGTGTTCCTCCCCAACTTTGGAAGTGATTAGCATACTGAAGACAATGGCATTCAACGGAATGGCTAAAAAGTTTCGTGCACAAGGTAAAGTGGTGTAATACTATGCCACCAGAATAAGTAGAATGGCAACTATGGTAATGCTTCGATAAACCCATCAATACCTGTAATTTTCAATCATTTGTTGTTACTAGTAAAAAGAACCACATACCTTTATGCGACCATCTCCAGCGCTCATAGCAAACAAGTCTAACGAGGGACTAAACGCTGTTAAAAGGTCCCTAATGTCCGATGGACCCATTCTCCTAAAACACAGAAAAAGCAACTTTAGAAAATTGAAAACTCACCAGCACGAACAGAACCACGAAGAAATGTAAATAGTCCAAGGATTTCCGGTGCAGAATATACAAAGCATGCAAACTCTTGGGACCACGAAGAAGATTCCCCCCCCCCCAAAAAAAAGCAAGAACACGCGCACAGTCACAGAAATTCTAAATCAACAGAAAAAGTGATTCAAACATGTAATGAGTACATCACAGGCACTTCTGAACCAAGCATAACTATAGTTACTTACAGAAGCGAAAGTGTAGCTAGACTAAGAAGTTAAAGTACAAGTGAAGGTTCACGAACGGCGTACGGTAGAATAGGCCGGAGGAGAATGATATTCAGAAGCGGAAACACAGGCTGTAGCAACTACTAGCAATAGCAGCGAGGGCAACAGCCGCTTCTCTCTCAAGTGTTTCCCGCGCCGCCGTTGGACGCTGCCTCGGTGTGCCAGAGGTAAAAGGAAGGATGGAGGCTACGTAGCCCAATGGGCCTTATTTGATGCAGGCTACCTGGCCCAATGGGTCTAAATATTCTGAACTTCTCTGGGTACCGAGAGTATCCTCTAATATCTCATGTTTTGGTTATTAAAACTTTTAATCAAAGTATAATAAATTTATGGGAAGAAAACAATAAAATACCCTGAAAATTGCTAAAAAGGTAAATTTTAAAATTTTAATTCAGACTCCTAATACTATTTTGAAATTTTCAAATCTTGTAAAATTACATAAATGCCCTTTACTATATTTTTCTTTAAAAAAAAATTTGTCATCTCAATGACTATCCTGTTTTATGTATTGACAACTCTTTTATAGCTATGGATTATATTTATTTTTAGAATTCTGATAACTACTCTTATTTAGTTATGCACTACTTTTGTTTACGACCAAGGTTATCAAATTCACGAGTTTAAGCAAACTCGTGATAATGATATAAAATCGGATCATAAACTCAGATCGTAAATTCGTAAAAGTTTACTTTTATTAATAAACTGATATTAAAAGTATATAATCAAATAATTAATATACAAAAAATGATAATAATTTCATTTAAATATATTTCATATTTAAATAATTGAAATTATATTCATCAATGTTCATAATTTATCACATTCAAAAAAAAATTTGTATAGAATTCATATATAAAGTCACTAAACATAATCAAATCCAAAAATTTAGCACGAGTTTAAGAGTAAGTTAACACGATTTTGTAAGTTAAAAACGTAAAAACAGTAAACTCGTTAAATAAATTCGTAAGTTTAACCGAGTTTACAATTATCACAAGTTTAAAAGTGAATCGACACGGTTTTGTTAGTTGAAAATGTAAAATCGTTAAACTCAGAGACTCAATTTGCGAGTTTGACAATAGTGTTTACGACTGACTATTTTTGTTTTTAAAAATTTGGTATGTACTCTTGTTTAACTATCGACTACTCTAGTTTTACTATTGATTGTTTTTGTTTCAAAAACTAAAAAAAAATGTATTAAGTGTTGTTAGAAATCTAGGAACTACTTTTTATTTAGTTATTTATTACTCCTGTGTAGTTAATAATTATACTTTTTAATCATTAGAACTTTAAAAATAAAAGTAGTTAATAATTAAACTAAAATAGTCAATGGTTATGTGAAAATGGTCACTAAGAGTAATAACAATGTTATCATTTTACAATATTTTAAAATTCCAAAGTAGAAAAAATAGTCTAATTTGGATTTTAAAATTTACCCAGCCTAATTTATCTTTTAATATTTTTGAGACTATTTTAATGTCATTTTAAAAAAAGTATCACCATAATTTTAAAATTTAAAATAAAGTGTCATTTTTCGACCAAATTAATAAAGCATCGTTCTTACCTTAAAATTTGGAAGTGTTTTCACATGCAGGGCTCTACTTATCGTGTAGAGGAGTAACAAATGACTATGATTTTACTGGGAACATTTAAAAAGCAACAAACAGGGGGAGATGGCTCTGTCGACCAAAAAAGGAAAATAATGTTACAATTTCAAGTCCAAAGTAATTTAAAAAAACTGAGTTTATACCATAAAAAAGATGTCACTTTTAAGACTATGAAATCTTAAAATGTCGATTAAAAACATTAGTTGGTCCTTTATTGATATTTAAAAAATAACAAAAATACTCATATTCGCGTATGAGTCTAAGAATCTGAAAAAGACAAGTCAAAAATGTCAAAAACTAAGTTAGAAATTCTTAAATCCTCAATTTGAATCTTGTTCAATTGAGCATTATTTTCATATCATAGTTTGACTTTAAGAAACGACAATATATAAATATATAAGTTTAAAATGATGGAAAAGCAAATATAAAAAAATTGCCTAGATGAAAACAAATACAGCTAAAGCTTTTAAGACTTCCTATTCAGTTTTCAGCACTTTCAAATTCAAGCTAGTATTTTCCAACCTGTACGTGAACAGGGACATTTTTTCCATTGACTTCTTTTCGAAAAAAATTTAGTAGAAAATTAAGGTTGTTAATTGATATTTTAAAATCTGGAAATTTGAAAGTGGCATTACCATTGTTATATTATTCCAAAATGTCATTTTCCTCACAACTAGTAATGCGTCATCGTTGTGGAATTTTTGAGCTTAACAAAACACCTTTCTGGTGGGAGAAATAATATAGGTAAGCTTGAGCCAACAACCTCCGAGCACAGCCTCGAACAGAAAGATGCTCTCCAATGATTGCTTTACTAATTTTGGAATCCCATGCACCAACTGCCTAATTTCTTTCATATTTTCAATTTAATTATTATAACATGTATATAAAAGCAATACTAAATGCAGTAATTAGATAACTAATTTCTATGAATCAAAAAAAACTAATGAAATTGTTTAATTGTAAAAATATCCTTTTTAATCATTTATATGAAATAATAACTCATTTGATGAAAAAATTTCTTGAAAATATGCAATAAGAAAGGTTCAGGAAAAATATTATAAATTTCAAAAACAAAATAAATTAAAATGTTATATTTAAAATAAAAACAAACCCACCAACTAGTTCTTTTTTTAATACTTTATCAGCTAGTTTTCAAACTTAGAACAGGTGTAATAATTTATTTTTCTTTGGAGTTTTGGACTTTTGTGAACTTGCATGTGCTTGCGCACAAATGCTGCCTCAACAAATTATGCCCAAGACAAAGCGTATATTTTGTGGCGCTTGGAATAATAAATTTCCAGCGATTACATTACATATACTTCCCTATATTCATATCACCATACCTATAACTTGCTAAACCAAACACATTCCAATAAATAAAAGTAGCAGCTGAACCCATGATCACCACTTCAAAAAAGGTGATTCTTCAAATGCTGTTTTTGACTGACGTATGGTTGGATTATGCTGAGAAAAGAATATACACACACATATTCATGGGGTAAAATAAAAAGAGGTGTTTATAGAAATTGGTTGAGACAACTTTTAAGACCAAGGGGGTGTTTGGGAAGCTATAAAAGTGCTTCTCAAAAACACTTTTCCGCAAATTGAGACAAACTCCTCCACATATTTACTTTGTGTACCGTAAAATCACTTTTAAAATCATGGTTTTGTTTTCATCCAAACACCTCCCAAAAGTATCTATTAGACGAACACAATTGTTTTCTTATGTTTAACGAGGTACCACCAAATCTTACACAAGGGACATAAGGCTCAAAGTTGAACTTTCTTTAATTGGAAGTATCACTCAAATCCATTACATGATTTACAGTAATAGAAAAACAATCACAATGAACTGACATGCAAAATTATCCAACGCTGATTCCTCCTGTTGCGGCACTAACAAAATTTCATTACAGCATGAATGAAGATATGAAGCTGTACAACAAATAATGTGATGATGATGATGGGGATGATGATGAAGGAAAAAAATGAACAACCCAGACAACCCTTCTCTTATTGGAACATAAGTGACCTAATCTGAGACAACACAGGGCAATTCATTCTTTTCCAATCAATGTGAAGGCATGGCACTCAAGAATATGAATTTCTACTTGAGGAAGGAACTGGCAAACAGTCCTTAAGGTGTTCGCTATCGGATCTTCCAATGAAAAATCATTCGTGGACATTTGTTTTATCATCAATCCTTTCAAAAAGAAACTGTCCACGTGTGAAAATTTAATTGGCCAATTCAATGACAAACACTCAAGTAACTGCAACTATGTTCTGTCGGATCACAGGATAGAGGTTTTACTTTTTCCAATGATGCTGCTGATGAGGGTGAAGCAGGATGAAGAAGAATTCCAGGAGCTAGCAAGGTTGGGGCAAGGTCGTGGGAGAACTGAGACAGAATAACCAGACACATTTGAGCATTCCCAGGAAAAGGGAGAGACAGGATTTATAGATAAGGATATGTTGGAGAGGCATATGTTAGTGAAAGGAGATTCTGGAATCCCAGTGAAGTTCCCAGCTATGGTGATGTTTGAGCCAGTCACATCCTGTAGGGTGATGTGATCCAATTGGGGAAGAGCATCAGGATCAAATTTATCATCTGGATGAGACCCACAATGTCCTGTGGCTGAAAATGCCTTGTAGATATTCTCCATTTCTACATCTGATATCAAGATTTCTCTGATATAGCCACCTCTGCCTTTAGTGGTTCTGAACTCAATCCCACTGTGTGAGTTGTGAAGATGAACATGCTCCACCAGAACATTCGAGATGCCTCCAGACATCTCACTTCCAAATGCAAGGGTAGAGCCAGAAGATGCTTCAAGATAAACCCTTCTGATATGCACATTCTTGGTGGGCCTCCCATAGGCAATTCCATACTCATCCCACCCACTTTTGAGAGCAATTGCGTCGAAACCCATGATGATGATACAATCTTCTATACAAACATTATCAGAAGAATCTGGAAACATGAATTGCATAGACATCAGCTATGAAACGGCTGAGGTAAAAAATTTAAGCTTTTCAGTGAACCCTTGCGAATAATAGAGCGAACCTATGACTATTGGATCATATAGGTTATGACATCATGCCAAGCACCAATTTTAACTCAATCGAAGTTAAAATAATGTGTCTAATAAAAGTCATTCTCAGCATATGAACAACAAAAAGTTTGGTCGAGGACAACAAACCTGGAACTATACCAACAGTATAAGGTGAATCTGGAGGAGCAGAGATTGAAATATTTTGAATAATCACATTGCTGCATCATATCACAAGTCTAACCGAGTCAGTACAATTTCATCTAAAACAAGTATAAGATCGTTCAAAGTTAAGATAACACAAACATACCTACAATAAACTGGGTGAATGCTATATGCAGGAGCATTTAAGATTGTAAGATTTGAAACAACCACGTATTCAGAGGCTACAATTTCAACCAGATGAGGACGACTATAGTTTAAGGAATGAGAGTTAAATTTGTCCCACCAAGCCGTTCCCATGCCATCAATA